AACGGATAGGGGATGAGCTGGTTCAGCTTTAATCGCCATCCCTGAAGAACTGGGAGACGTTTTTTTGTTGTTAGTTTTGCACTCACACACCAATCAGGGACGAACCGCCGGCCCTGAGAGTCAAGGCCGCTATGACACTGGCAACGTTTTCGTTTCTCTGTAGCGCGTCGCGATAATCCAAAAGGAAAATTTTAATAATATAAGAAGTCAATCTCTCATCACGTGCAAGCCACACCAGAAGTCGGGTCACCTCGCTGGTTCCTTGCCATAGCCAGCTTCTACCCATCGCTGTACTTCTCTCCCGTAAAAAGGAACTAATACATCAAGGAATTGTACATTGTTATTACTGCTAATATAATTAATCTACCAATTAAAATCATAGAATAATTTTTTTTTATAATACCGCAATCTATATCAGTTACTTCTTTGGCACTTATGAGTACTAAAGGATTTAAATGCAATTTTTTTCAGTATTCTAATCTTTATTTAAAAATTATAGCTCAAAATGGTTTTAAAGTATTTGAGAAACATTTAAAACAGAATCCTGAACAGGTTCGTGAACTCTTAAAAAATCGTTTACATCGTTTATGTTGCGATTACAAAGTAAGTCGAATTTTCCTGATCCAACTTTCCCATAAATTTTAACTATTTTGTTTCCTTTTCATGCAGCCCAAACTTAATACTGTAAATACAATATCCTCACTCAGGGAGACTTTGCAAAATTATTTATTCCGAGTTAAAGCTTTGTTAACCGCTAGTGATTGTGCATAAGCATTTCTTCTGGTTGAATTGGAAAGCAAGAATTTACACGTGGACAAGCTTTTATCACAGGAGAGCGTTTTGCTTTCCACGTGCTGTTATGCGTCTTATTTATATTATTTATATATATTTAGATTACTTCATTGAACATTGACATACAAAACAGCAATGAAGAAATTTCCTATGACAATGGAAATACTGACGAACGATGAATGATTGGAAAACAATGAATACATGAAAAGTATCTAAAAATTTTCGAACTTTTATCGTTACTAATCCTGTTTATATATTAAAAATTGCAAATTCTCTGACAATGAAATGAAACATGCCGCACCGGATGGTAAAAAAATTCAGTACGTATGCCACAGATTAAATTTAACATGCGTTTTAATTAACTAATAGACGTTTAACTTAATAAGACCGAAGAAAAAAAGAGAAATTTATTTATTATTATATTTTTAATTCCCGTTTGTTCCTCGATAGTTGCTAAAGCTAAGCATTTAGAGAGTTTGTAACGGCCGCGAACAAACCTCGGGTAGGGTGTCTGTCGGTTTGTATCAACCGCAAGCGGCGGAATAACGGCATGCCGTTAGACAAAATCATGCGATTTTGTGGTACCGCTAATAAATCGCATGATCTTGCGGTATATGTGTTTATTTTGTTCTTTTCTGATCTCCTTACTTACAAGTACAGGCAAAATCGTATGATTTTGCGGTACCTTTGCTTGCTTTTGCAAGTACAGGCGGAATCGTATGATTTTGCGGTACTTCCTTTTTTTTTTCCTTTTGCTCTTGCAAGCATAGGCAAAATCGTATGATTTTGCGGGATCTATGCTTGCTCTTGTGAGAGTAGCGGCAAGCCGTTATAGAGAGAGCAACAGGAAGAAGAAGAGGGAAGTTAAGGAAGAATGAGAAGTCTGTCTGCTTTTGATTTTTTCAAGATGAGTTAGTTCGAGTTGAGCCGTCATGAAAGTGAGTTGTAAGTTGAGTTTGGTTCAGTGCAGTCGGGTTCCAGTTGTTGAGGTGTGAACGGCGAATTGATATTTGATAAAATGTTAAAAAGAAAAAAAAAATCCGTTTAACAGACATTAAATATAATTGATACTTGATCAAATATTAAAAAGAAAAAAAAAGCAAATATAAAAACAATCTGTTTAACATACATTAAATGGGGTTGATACTTGGCTAAATATTAAAAAGAAAAGCAAATATAAAAAAAAGGTCTGTTTAACATTTGTACTGTACGACAGTAGAAGAAAAAAAAAAGGACTATTAAACATGTGGTACACCCATCATATTATACATAAATGATTGGTGCAGAAACGATACTTTTATAAAATTAGCAAAAATTGTGGTCGAGTAAATATATCGGATATAAAATTTAAACGATTTGATACCAAAGCCATTCTTTCTAAACTTAAAACCAACAAACAGAAAAGGAGAATCAATAATCAAACCTTCCAATTTGTGAAGAACTGAACATGCAAAAGTAGCTTAAACGAGTTGAGTGTGCCAGTTGAAGGTATTAAGCAAAGCGCATCGCACTTGTGTATGAATGTATTATTTGTTTTAAGTATCATTGACGGTCGTAGAAACATACTGGTGTCTAAATGGTGTAAAAGAACATATAACCCACCAACCCTGTATAACATAAGAAAAAGAAAAAAAGGAATTTCTTTTTGTATGCTTGCTTTTGGAACGAGGAAAAAAAAAACAATATAAATAAATGATAAGAAAAATATTTATATACATATTGTGAGTTGG